CTGCCTGTCTGGGTGCGTGTGTCTGCCGTGCGTGTGTGTGTGTGTGTGAGAGAGAGAGAGAGAGCGCGCCCAGCAGTCCGGGATCGCGTTCCTTTCTTCTTTCTTCCCTCCCAAACGATACAGACAGCGGAGACTTAGGTAGTTGTTTCCACTAGCCCCGATCGGACTGAACTGGATCTGCCTCCAGTCAAAACACTGCGAGACTAAGACAGAAAATTGGCTCCGGTTTCACGCCGTGAGTTGCGGTCCCACCGGAGCCAAGCACAACATCGGCGGAGCGGGCGGAATATTAAGCAGGAGCGGGGACTCCGAGGCCAGCGCCGGGCTGCGAGCTGCCTCCTGCCGCGCCAGCGGGCGGGAGGGGAGGGGAGCAGGGGGGGAAGGCGGCAAACTTTCTGCGAGGAGCGAAGGATGAGTTCATAGTCACCTACTTCTTGGCAGAGGAGCGCGGAACAATGCGCCCAGACACGGCCCGGCCCCTCCCTCTCCTTCCTCCTCCTCTCTCTAAGAAAGCGGGATGCAGTTTCCCCTCGGCGCAGCCCTCCCGGAGGAAGGCGACGGCCCGAGCGGGCGGCGGGAAGGAGGGGCTGCAGGTGGGCAGGTGGAATTTCAGCAATTGTTTGTGTTAGCAGCTGAGCGCTCTCGAACAAGAGGAAAAAATAAACCGCAGCAGAAGAGGGAGGAAAAATAAATCGTTCACATCTGCCAGTTGTTTTCTTAAATCCTAGCACAAGGCTGCTACTTTATTAAGAAGCGGCTTCCAGCGTGCGCTGTTTGTGTCTTGGCTGCCTGCGTGCACGGATCTGCCTTGCCTCCTCGCCGGGGCAAGAACGGGAGCCGAGGGCACAGGCAGCTGAGGTCCCCAAGCAGTTTGCCTCAGAAAAGGCCACCAGCCTCGCTGCAGCTGGACTGACAGGTGCCCAAACCCCTCCTCAGAGCCAATTTACTGCTAATGCACCGCAGACAGCCCTCAGACATTTTTCTTGCCATCTTGCTTTTCTTGGACCAAGAAACAGCACAGGGAATGGCAAACCACTGGACTGGCCCCTTGAAAGTTATCCCTGACATGGACAATATATATTATTTATTCCCCACACCTTTTCTTACCAGCTGAGTACCAACACATGGAAGGAGTGGTCAAAACAAGTGAGTCAGTCTGCTGATGTAACAGCAGGGCCAAGAAGTGACCCAAGAACTAGCTAAAAAGTAATATATTTTGTATCTGAAAAGATTACACCGTCATTAGAACGCAGCAATGGACTCTTCTCATTAATCCAGATGGAGGAATCATTCACAGGGGCACATCAATCTTCTCACATTGGCAAGACATCAACAGTCAGTGTTTGTCCTGAGAGAATAAAGGTTGGAAGAAACTCACTGCTGCTTCTGGAAGTCAGTCTTCCTTTGCTCGTAATGAATTCAGCACCTCTTTTTGCATTTACTTTTTTTAAATGAGAATCAGAGATTTCAAGTCTGCATCTTTTTCTTACCATATTTCCTCACAAACAGGTCTTTCTAAGCTCAAGCAGAAACATGCAGGAAGGAAGGAAGGAAGCATTGGGATGCCTTCTGCCCAGTGCTGCTAATTTATCTTGAAAAACTGAGTTCTCTGGACAGCCACAAAAGTAAATGAACTGTTTCTGCTATTTACAACATGCAAAATTAATAGAGGCAGGCCAGCTCACTTCCATAAACAGCTACTGTCCGTGCACATTCCTCATGTTTCCAGACTGTATAAAAACAAGGCATAAATAATATCCCTTCCCTGGGAGAAAAAACCCCAATCACCAGAAAACCAAAGCCCCAGACAAAGCTTGTAAGTCTCAGTTTGTGTTATAAAGATTTAGAGGTGGCTCTCAGCTGCAGAATAAGTCCTATTTTGCGGCAGAGGAATTGCTTCAGCGCACAGAAGCTGAGAATGAGTCCTTTTGAAAGGCCTCGTGGCTCTGGGTGTGCTGTTTGTTCCCCTTGGATGTTCAGAAGCACGGAATTCCAGCTGCTGCAGGTGAGTGGGAAGCAGAGAGCTGCGAGCACCCAGCCCATGGGAACAGTCCCTCCTTGCAGGTAGAGCTGGACACAGCAGAGCTGTGAGCCAGTGTTTACTGGGGAGGAGCTGCTGGACCCAGCTCTGCAGGCAGGACCTCTGGCTCTGCTCCCCAAGAGCCAGCCTGCTGCTTTTCCCATCAAGGGTGGCAAAATCCATTCCTGAGCATCTTGCCAGGAGTCACACAGCAGATCAGTGTCAGTGCCAGAAATAGAACCAGATCTCATCATGCTCCAACCCAACCCATTTCTATTACATTATCTTATGCAATGAAGGGATTTCATCCAAAATCCCGTTGGTTTCAATGAGACTTTGCAGAACAACACACACATTGTTACAGTTCCATTAGCGCCTCTGGAAATAAAGGATGAAAGATGTACATTTGAACATACAATACATTTACCATATAAAATTACAGCAAAAGGTTGACACTTAGGGCTGGATTCAATTTTGAAAAATCCATTTGGGAGCCTTGTGTGGGCTTCAGTGGCAAGGAAGCCAGGCACAGTTTTTTATTGAACCCAGCCCTCCATCCTTAGGCTACCAGAATTTTTCCATTTTGTCAGCCAAATGCATTCAGTGTGAGGACACCCCGAGGCATCTGCAGCAGCCTGAAGGTTAAAATGTCAAAGTTTTTCCGTGTTCAGTTTCACACAGTAAGACGACTATACATTGCCACGCTGCTCCATTTGCTGGGGTTTTCACTCCCTATTCCTCCAGAGCCATTATGATGTTAATGAGAGAACTGTAATGATGCCATTCACATTACAAAAAGCCTGATGCGATGTCAGAGAAAGGGGCTTTTTATACAGTTCCAGAATGCCTCTAAAAACCCAAACTTAAATAAAAAATGCCCATGACTATAAAGCTGCAAGTCTCACTGAGACCAATAAAAGCAAGGGAATAGACTTAAGGTGGCTATCCCTTGTTTAGCCCTGGGTTTGTACCCGAGTACTGCAGCAGGTTCAGTTTTTATCACAGAGTGTGGAGCTTTCCATTGCATAACAACATGGCTTGAGGAGAGAATAGCATTTCTGAGCTGTGCTGTATCATTGTTAACATCTGGATTGCAGTGCTTAGAAAACAAAATTGCCATCATTTTGGTAGCTGTTACCTTTCTGGTGTTTCAGAAAATTTCCAATGCAGAAGCAATAAGGAATCCCACTGCACACAGGCTGTGCAGAGCCCCTGTCTAAGGAAGCAATGACAGCTGGCAAAAGGAAGGGGAAAGGCACAAACACATACCCAGACTGATGTACCTCCCTTAAAAAACCCCAACTGTATCACCTGCAAACTAGTCCAGGCTGATCTCACTGTAAACCACCTGCTCTTTATGGTTGATACAACAAACTTTGGTGTCACTAACTTAGCTGAGGGAGGCAGGGCATCCTGCGGACAGGAGCGTCATGGAAAAGGGCATAAAGGCTCCCCTGGGAGCAGCAGATAAAGGCATCAGGACGCCAGCATCACTGGCAGAGAGAGCAGAGCCATGCTGCAGAGACAATGGTGGAGTGATGACAGCTATGGCAGAGCTGTGACAACCTCACATGGGGAAATAAAAGACTGGATGGAGGCAAATAAGGAGGACAGGCAGGAGGTGGCTTGGCTCTGACCACAGCAGAGGACAGGGAAGAGGATGTTGGGAGCTTGCGTTTAAATAGATCAAACTGGCTGATATGCCAAAGGTTCAAGGAGGAGGAAGTTACAAACAGAGCTGGGAGATAATGAGGGCCTGGATTAAAATGTTAAAATGATTGTTTGGATAGATATGTATGTAGCTGTAGTAATGTTATGAATGAAGCAGTGGAAATGCAAGGGACACCTGACCACAGCACACTGGGGCAGCCCAGTCACAGGAAATGAAAGCAAAGGATCAAAGACAATCCCTGCACTCAGGGCCTTGGAGGCAAGCTGAGCAGCAAGGCTGCGAGAAGTGGAAAAGCCTCTGGAATTGGCCATGATGGATTTAAATTGAAAAATTGAAAACTGGACTTCCAAGAGACAGCCCATGGCTGGGAGAATTCTTCCTTCCCTTACTGGTACAAGATAGCTGAGGAGACTGAAACTGAATATTGCTGAAACTGCATCATGCCAGTGCAGAGCAGTTCCTGGTCTGTGGTGAGGGAGAGTCACCAAAGAGGCAGCAGGGTGAAAGGGAATGAGGACCGGTGCAGTGAGATGGTCTGGCCCGAGGCAATGATGATTTTCTGTTTCTTCAGCTGTACCTGTACCAGGAATGTGTAATGCACCATCTAACAGAAGCAGGATCCAGGGTCAAAATGAAAGGGTTAAGGCTGGCTGAAATAGCTAGACTGGTAGAACAACAGGGTCTGTGTGCCAACAGGGTCAATTCAGCTTTTCATCCTTAGGAGGTATAGATAAACTATAGACCTGCCAAGTCTAGTGTTTATCCCTGTATTTCTTGGCCCTTATTTCAGGGAATTTCAAGGAATCCACTGGGGTTTTTTCTTTTGCTTGCTTTTTTTTTTTTTTTTTCTCTCTCCTTTTTCTAGAGCTGGACTTACTGTTTGGTAGAAAAAGAATTAACCTGAAATCAGAAATTGATTTCAGTGTCAAGATACAGCTCTTTCATTGGAGTTTTTCATACTTCTACCCTAATTTAGATTATGCAGCTCCAGATGCTTAAGTGTCTCTTTCTCCAGACAGCATTTAAAACAAATATTTCTCTAATTTTTCTAATTCCCATATTCCGTTTTTTTTTCTTTACATACTTTTCAATTGAATTGTTCCCAGAAAGGCTTTATGCAGTTAACCTGGACTGGTATGTCAATGTCCCCTGGGTTTCATTGAAAAAAAAAAAGATTTAAAAGAAAATGTCCTTTTGGATTCCTAACACTTGGAGTTTCTCCTGCTTTTGGTTTCTATGAGGCAGAACAAGAGAAAGTTTCTGTTCTGACAGAAAAGATGTTTCCTCTTTCATTTCTCTGTAGGTATATGTCACCTATCAGAACTCTTGGTAGCCAGTATGCAGTGATCTCTTAAATGCTGGTTCTAACAGTTAAAGTTTTCCCCAGAATTTATGCAAATATATGAAAATGCAAGCAAAATTGCAATTTATTTTGCCTCAGGGCTCTGGCAGACATGAGAAAAGGTGCCATCCCATTTACTGCAGCCATCTCCCTAAGGCGGCTTTGCCTGCCTGGTCTGGGAGAACAATAAAGCCCCATGGTATTCATTTCAGTAAGCATAAATATTTTTTCCAGTGTTCTTAGCCAAAATGTCTCATATGCTCTCTGCCTCCACCCCGCTGGTGGCTGCGTGGCCTTGCTCCACATGAAAGCTCTGTCCAGGATGCACTTAGCTCCGAGGGGGTTTAGGTTTCAAAACGCTGCAGTATCCCGAGGGTGCTGCGAACTGTAACCGAGAGCATTTCGGGTTAGTTAACCTTTGTGAGGGGTTCCACACCGGATAGGTGCTCCCAGTGCTTTACTGGGACTGAGGCAGGAGAGAAAAAGGAGTGCCGGTAGTCAGGCGGGGCTGGGGGAAAGCAAAGCCCTGCTCCTGTTGCACAAGGAGACTTCCCAAAGCACCAGGCAGTTCTCATCACTTGCTCGGGAAGAGAGGTACCAATTAGAAGCGCTTCCCCACTTAACTTTCACTCCCGTGCACAGCACATGCATGTCACCGGCACCGTAAATGAGATGGTTTATGGAGTTAATTATATTGCATTCCTCACTTTTTGTGTGCTGAAGAAAGTAAACAAAACAAACACTAAAGTGTTTTGGAACAAAGAGCTAGTTGTCTCCCACTTTGCTCTGTGCTACTTTCCACGAAGAATGAGAGCTATTGTTATTCTTTTACAAGTTTCCTTCTAAGGGAAATAAACACCAAAGGTAGGATTCCAAGGAAATGACTCACAAATATTGGCAACAGGCTCTGAAAATTGGATCCAGTCTTCGCAAAAGCCTTTAGCAGAGTACTAAACCCTCTTATTGCAAAATAAACTTTTCCCAGATGAGCTCCACATCAGCTCTGCGAGTGTGTGAGAGTGTGAGTGTGTGTTAGCACTCGTAGACAGGAGCAGAACCCATTTCTCACGTCTCCCCTTCTTCCCTCCGGGGCACCGCTGCCGATGCCATTTTTAGCTGGAAGCTGGAAATCTTTAATAACCGCCTGAGTCATCCCGGGGAGCGGGAGGGAAGGGATGTGCCTCACCTTGCCGAGCCTGCCCGCTGCCTCCCCACCCAGGTACCCCCGGCCGAGGGGCCGCTCTCCTGCAAGCCCCTCTGCAGGAACGTTTATCCTACAGCTGGAAAAATGAAGGGCAGGGCAGAGAAATGTTTTGTTGTTTTTTTTCCTCAATCCCCTGACATTGAATCGAATTCAGCAGGGCAAGATCAGCCTCTAATAATCTGTTTTCAGTCACTGAATTAGCCTTTCAGATGTGCAGAAGGTAACCATGAACCATGACTCATATTTTATTTCTTAATCAGGAATCCCAGGAACCAGGAATGCAGACACTGAAAAATCAGACAGCTGAGCAAAATCAGTGCGGCAGGATTACCATCTGCAAACAGAACAATCTACTTTGCATATTTATTTCTCAGCTGTTTAAAATTTTGAATCATAAATGCATATTCTGTATCACTTGTAAGGCACGCAGTCTAAATCGCTCACACTCGCTCGTGTTGGTTTGGGGGGTTTGTTTGTTTGTTTTGTTTTTGACGATTTAAATCTGGTTAGACAAGAGCAACAGAAATTGCAAACCTTACACAGAATTCCTTTGTTGCTTGCTTCTACTCAGACAAGCCTATTAAATGAGAGAAGCTGGTCCCCTCATTCATTTCCTTTGCAAATTCCTATTTAACCACTCCAAATCGAGATGAAACAAACTGTGATGCTGGTCCAGAGTCAGATTTTTTTTCTTTTTTTTTCAGAGAGTCCCTTTACAGTGTGCCTGAAAGCAACTGGCAGCCAAGTACCTACTTCAGACTCTAAAGGTTGCATTAGTGGAAGTTTTGTGTCTGGTTCAAGGCATTGCCAGGTAGTTTCTAAAGCCTGTAATTCACTAAGTGTCCAACAGAAACAGCTTCCAACAGGACCTCTAAGCAAGGAGCCATGTTTATATAGACTGTGTGAGACATTTGAATTGTGCTGAACTCCAGCCATTGCTCAACCAGTTATAACCAGCTGTCAGGGCTGGGAAGGAAACCAGGATAAACCAGTGTGGTGTCGCCTTCCCGAATCTGCTGGCAGGGCGGCACAGCAGGCTGGGAGGTAGGAGCTGCTCAGACCCCACCTCGCTGCAGTGTTAGTGGGTGAATTTTAATATTCATCACTCCAAGGCTGCTCATTTTAGCGACAGAAAGGAGGGATCAGCTGGGAAGTGGCGGCCGCTGCGGGGAAGGCAATGCAGAAGGATAAAGCCAAGCACATGATAGAAAACATTCAGAGATCCACAAGTCAAAAATCACTGTAATCACTTTGGCTGCCCCCTTTCTCAGCCTTTTGTTGTGCTCAGCTTTTTCCACTTTCCGGAATCCTCCTGAAGCAGCCAGAGCAGCCACAGCCAGAAGAGGCCAGCCAGGATCCAATGCTGCTCAGGCACCACTGCTTCTCCCCCTCTGTGTCCTGTTTTTCTCTGGACAACAGAAAATATCCCTGATCATCGGCCTGGGTTGAGGCATATGCAGGGAGCACCTTCCAGGAATGACTCTCACACATTTTGTAAGATTAGGCACAAAAAGTTTAGTTACAGGATAAAAAGCTCCCAGCCACAACAACGTGGCACAGCTGCATCGAGGAGCTGGAAAGGAAAGAGAATGGAGAGAAGCCCACCTTGCTATGGGACAAGGGGGATTGATTTAAAAGCATGTTTTAGAAAGTTTTCATTCCATAGTAAAATACTTGCAATGCCCATGAAACATCTTAGGAAATGAGAAATGTCTAAGTAAAGAAAAAATTATAAAATTATGGTACCTGTGCTGTTGAGTATCCATTCTTTATGCACAAAGTAGCTCATGAGGCAAGCAGGCAGCACACATACCTGTAATCAGCAGGCGATGCTTTTGGCAGGGATGGATTAGTCATTCACCCCTGTGCTCTGGTGACATCTCCTCAGAGAAAGGTTTTTTGGGGAAGCCTCACAAACTCCAGTGCTAAGAGAACATAAAATTTTGATGCAGAACTTCATATTTGATTGAATTTATTTTTTTTTAGAATTGCAGCATTTGGGTAGATTCTTACTTACATGACTTTGCCTATTCATTTCTCAGTCTCCTTGCCAGTCTCCCTAGTTTTCAGACTTCAACTTTTATGACCCATAAGAGCAAGCAAAAAAAAAGATCAATTTAATCAAAATATAACAGGTTTTTTTCAATTTACACTGCAGACCCAAAAATACTAAGTTTTTTTAAAATTCAAGGATTTTAAATTCAGTTTTGTTTTTAAGCCCAATCTATTGATTTAATTGCTAAGGGAAAAATAATATCTAAATATTTATATAATATGAAATAATTATGCAACCACTGTCCTTGGACGGATAACATTCAGCTAAGATCTGCATTCAATTATTTAGCTGGTGCTACAGAAAGTGATTATTCCTTTTACTTGAGCAGTAGCTTACAAAAACTTGAAGTTGTTCTGAGAATTAATTTTCAACTAGAGAACTGTTTTGAGACGTGTGTCCTCATGGAGGCTGGGAATGCAGCTCAGTGATCCACACCAGTGGTTCTTCCTCCAGCACTCACAGTTGGTTTTATTTAAAACTTCATTTTTTAGGAGTGCTTTTACTGCCATGAGCAGGGTCTGTTTCCAAGGGCAGTGCAGTCCAGTGTGGATGACACTCCCAGGGGGCAGGAAGGACCAGGTGTCCTGGCAGAGTCTCCAGTGCATGCTCGGGGCAGGAAGTGCAGAGCCAGGCGTGTGTGGAGAAGGGGAACACATGGATGTGCTCCAGCTGGAGCAGCCCAGGATATTCCCCCTGCTCTGCAGGTGAAAGGGGTGCAGGAAACCAATGCTGGGCCCCTCACTGATGATGAGAATTTTCTTTCCTCTGTCCCAGACCAGAGTAGTCTCCAATGTCCAGAAAGGAAGACAGTGTGATGTGTGGGAGGGACAGCATTTTCAGAGCAGGATCTGGTGCAATGGCAATTACCCAAAGCTGTTCCTGCTTGGCTGCTCCAAAACCTCCTCACAGCTCCTGCACAGCTGTGTCAACCCTCTTGTTTATCCACATGGTGTGTCCTGGACTGTATCTAAGCTCCAGGGACTGGGAGATGCCTAAGCTAAGCCCTGTGAAGTTTTCTCACTGCTGTGAGTAATGGCTAGGGACAGGCAGTTGCTTTGGCTTAAGCAAACCTGTGCAGCAATACTCATGGTTTCAATCAAATGCAATACTCCCCAGATATAACAAAAAAACCCAAAACAAATTAAAAAACCGAACAAAACCCCCCACAAAACAAAAAACAAACAAACAAAATACAACACAAAACAAAAACAGAAAAAAGAAGATATGGAGAAGCAGTTGTGTATTCTTTATATTTTCAAGGGTTTACAGTATATTGATACTCACTCCAGTGTCCATATCCACATTCACCTACATCTGCAGCAGCAAAGACATTGTATATCCAGTCCTTCTCATGCATGCACTCTGGAGCAGAACAGTGACTCTTTTTATTTTTTGCTAAAAGGAGAGAGATTTTTAAACTTCAGTATCAGTTCATCCATCAAACCACCAAGAAAAACGGAACAATTATCAGCTTCAGTTCAGTTATTCAGTTGAATCATTTTTGTCATTGCAATGAAATTGCAGCATGAACTCTAAAATAAAATTTAGATCTCATGTTAAATCTCTCAAGTATTTTTTGGCTTCAGCTTAGCTGCTGTTCCATGATAATGAATCAAAGACTCATTTCCTTCCCATGTCTACTTCTTCTTGACACATTCCTGCTCAGCACCCCTCTCAGTTACACATGCTCTCTGCTTTTGACAAAAGCAGGAAAAGACTTTCCCCTCTCTGCTTCCAAGGGCCAGGCAGTGCCAGCCCAGCTCCCATTGAGCAGCTCCTGGAGCTCACCTCGCTCCATGAATAGTTTCTCTGAGCTCAGCCCCAGTGGAGCTGGCACAACCTGGCCTCCAGGAGAAAGATCCAATCAGCCCAAAGACAAAAACAAGCTCGCAGCAACGGTGCAGGGCACAGCTCTGAGAGGCACCAGCCCAGCTTGGGGACAGCCAGAAGAAGGTGCCAAGTTTCTGTTACATCCCAGGAGAAGTTTGCACAAGGTTACTGGAGGATTACAAAAACTCTAAGGGAGATTCTTTGGCAGTTCTGTGCTCGGGCAACTTATTATTATGAGCTTGGGAAATATATCCAAGCTGTCTTTAATAGGAATGCATGGCAACCTCTGAAGGATTTATCATCTTAAAAGAGAAATCACAACAGCTAAAAATCTGGATGCTGAGAAATGTACCATTCAATTACAAAGCAAATTATATGGGTCTCCTGTGTGTGGTTCAGCTCTCAAAAAGCATCAGCAGCTTCCTGCTACTTTACAGACATGTTATTCCTTTACTTAGAGAAGCACACTGTAAATCAGAAATAAGAGATCCTCAAGAAAAATATTTTGGCAGTAATTCCAGATCTGAGGGGCACAAAAGGAGTTAAAAACCAGCAGAGCATAGCCAACAGTTGAGAAATAAGTTGGTAAAAGTTATTCTGGGAGCAGTGGGTCGCAGTAAGTTAAACTGTGTTTGTTGTCTGAAATTATTCCAAAAGCAAAATTATTCCAAGGGAGAAGGATAAATATCCTGGAATAATCCAAACCAAAAATCAAATATAAAGGGGAGAATAATATTTCATTGGATTCCAAGTCCATGTAATCTTGAAGGAATTAACCACTTGCCCAGGTTTTGCTGTCTATTTGTTTCTAAGGACTGAGACTGGAGGGGAAAGAATTAGGGGAATGCAGGGAATCTCAGACAGGGCACTAAAATTGAGTTACTCCGTTTACATACTGTGTATGCTTTTAAACAAAGTTGATTTTACCTTCCAAAATCTAATCCCAGTAATACAGAACACACACTGTGTTTCAAAGGATGCTTGTACAAAGGAAGTACTCTCTTTAATAGAAGCCCAAAGTTAAATATATAAATTTTAATGCAGATTTTGGAAAGGAGGTTCACTATACTCTGTAGCAGGGCACTGGTTGGCCTAAGTATGACTCACCCAGTACCACTTGAGCCATTACACACACAGAGGTGTAAATGTTACAGCTTGTAATAATTCCAGAGTTTCTGGAGATAACTTGATATGTCAGATCCTTCTCTGTCAGTGTGCTGGGAACTACACACTTACTATGAGCTTTAAATGAAGAGTAAAGGCATACTTAAAGAGGGCACAAATAAACCATTGCCTCTCCTAGTTTAGCAAGAACTTAGCTTCAACAGGCAGCATTACAAACCACTGCAGCTCTGGGGGGCTGTCCTGATGCAAGGCAGCACAATGTATCTGGAATTTCAAGTCCCATATTGAAAAATTTAAGCACCCATATAAAGTTTGACTTGCATATTTTTTTAATCTCTGAAGTAAACACCTTCCTAGGCATTTTGAAGGCTGTTTCTTTTAAAGGGACTTCTCTGATTCAGCTGATAAGGTATCCTGCACTAAATACGGTTTAACACAACAAAATGCAACCCCCTCTGAACACACAGTAACTTATATTTGGGCTTCAGCTGGCTGACACAATTCTTTTTACTTGGAGAGCTTCAAAGGCAAACAATTCTAGTATCTGTAAGGCATTAATTTTCCCTCATGTTTAGGCTGTCAAGGACTTTTCCAGTCATGCCCCTTTTTCCAGCCTTTATCTATATTTAGAAATAAATATCCTGAAGAACTTATGGATATGGATTTACCTATCTGTGGAAAACAGCAAGTCTGGAGACTGTCTGCTCACCCAGCCTAACTGAAGGGCTTAATAAATTTGTTTGGAGTTATTCTGCAAACCAGCAGATTGTTTGAGATTAAAAAGCAGGCAACAGATCCCCAACTTAGTTGGTTCTAATGTAAGTCAATTCAAGTTAGTTAAGGATTTCTTTACTTGTTTAGTGGTTATTTCCCAGTACTGATGTGAGGGTTATTTCTAAAATACACGGGCCAGCTACTCCTCCTACAGGTCAACACACTGAGATCTTCATTGGTAAGAAAATGGTTCTGGTGTTTCAGAAGGTGGCATATTTTTTTTCAATGCCCCAGCCTGATTACAGGCACCAAATTATTTCTGTAGGCAAAGCAGCATTTTCTGCTACCCCTTGCAGGAGAGAAAGAACCATGATCTCAACTGTTTTTATCATTAAAGATCCTCTAACACGTTTCATAACAGTAGGTTCTTTAACCCCAAGGCTTTGGCCAAATTCCAACTCAATTACTGTCTACCTGAAAATTCTCCCGTTAAAGTAGGATTGATGGATTTGTCTCCTCCCTTTAACTGGTGAGCAGCCATGGCTGTGAAGAGCTTTCTAGGCTTCATCTTCAAACTGATTTCTGGGTTAGGTTAGGAACGTCAGTACACTCACGTGACCCAGGACTATACACCAAAAATTAGTACTTGTTAACATTTCAAAAGGACATTATTAATTAATTAATTAATTAATGTGAAAAGCACAACTGTATCAAGAAAACAAACCAGAAAAGATCACATGCAATAAATTTGCTGAGAAATCCACTGGCAAATGGAGTTAGTGTATACAAGTGAAGGCTGATCTAACTGTAGACCAACACGATGCGTTAACATTGTTTCAGATGCACTCCATCTGAATGAACAACAACATTCCTGTTTTAGTAGAAGGCAGAAATGTTTGTCATCCCGTGGTTACATGGACTATAAATTCATTGAAACACTTTACAGCTTTTGTTCTTTGATGGCAGCATTTGCTGGGGATGCCTGATTTGGTTTGTCCAGAATGACAAAAACAGTTGAAGGCATGTCTGCCTACTGAGAAAGTTTTCAGTGAAATGTTCAGCAAAATTAGAGAGGGTGGGAGATGCACTCAGAGAACAATTCCTTCAAATATTTCTGGCAATGAAAGGTTTGCTTAAGTGTGGATCACCCCATTCCATGGAAAAGCCAAGCAGGGAGCATTGCATCAGCTCAGCGAGATGTGCAGGGGTTTGGGATACCAGCATCCTTGGAACTTCACAGGTTGTCTGGAAACACCTGCTCCTGATTTACCTTCAGTAATTGCTCTCTCTCGGCATCAGTGGTGCTGATGCTCCCACACAACCACACCTCCTCCCAAAAGGCTCCCCAAAAGGGGTCCAAGCACCAGCAGCAGCAATCCTTCTGCTCTCGTGTCAGATGGCAAGGGCAGCCTCGGACCTTGAAGGGGGTCCTGCTGTGGGATGAGTATTCTGGGAGTGGAAAATGAGGAAACAAAAAAGAGGGGATGTTGTTGGAGGCTTAGGAGAATCCCCAAAATAACATCAACTGTATTAAAAGGACAGAATTTTAATATATGACACTGCTATACATTTTCTAATTGGTTTTTTAAAAGGATGAATTATTATACTAGAAACAAGTAGTGATTTCTGTCCCATCAAAATTTACTCTCTGGTGTTCCAAAAATATTTAAATCTGCTTCTGCCTGCACCTATGGATTTAACTTTTAACAACTTTTACAAGATTTTTTTTCAAAGTAAGATGAGAAGCATTTGGTTGTATTCCACTAGGCAACAGTCAGCAGTGTAAAATGCCTCCATGCTCAGCAGAGTTTCCTCAGGTAGTGATTTCCATGTCGTATTTAGCTGAGATAAGCATGGATTGGGGGGAAGGACAGCTCAGCTCCAGCTGTGCACCCCCACCCCCCTCCCTGTGCTGGCACTCATTTAGGTTCCAATTCAGTCACACTGGGGAACTGATCTCACTGAAAACTAAAGGAGTCTTTTTAGGTTTTATCCTGGTCCTTCAATGACTCTTGCTGATAGTAAGCATAACTGAAAGCCTGCAGAACTGAGGTATTCAGCAAATGTATTTGGCATGTTTAAGCACAAGCAGAAAAGCATTCTTCTGGATATAATACCATGGGCTGCAATTTCCATATAGTAATGCTTTACAAACTACTTCATGCTATCTTTCCAAGATGTGCATCAGTTTCACTGATTAATTTACTAGTCTGACAGGTCATTGACTGCCTGGATAAATCAATATGGCAGACAACAGGAATTTTAGCAATGAGAATAAGAAAGGCAGTGCTATGGGTGACAGTACTTGGTATTTGCTGGCAAGCCCCACGTGAAGAAGCTCAGCTGAAAACCCAGATGAGGAGACACAGAGGGACTCCATCAGAGGTGCCTGCTTGGCTGCACGGTGACAGATGGCACAGGCTGAATGGTTAATGCCATTTCTCAGCCTACTGGCCTGGCTTG